ATTTTTAAAATGGGGAAATTTAGGAAACCCTGACTTGGTGCCGAAGGCCACGTGTCCGTCATCACCAAAGTTGCCTCGGCTCGGGAACTTGGGTACGATCGGGGAAGGTCAGCTATGAGCACCCCCTCTCGCCCGGTCTGAAGACCGGCCTCTCTAACCGTGATATCCAATTTTGAAAACGTTATGTGTTCTTAATCCGGTTATTAGCCTAGAATTACTATGTTGTGCGCGCAGCAAACAAGTATGACTAGATTGCCTAACTTGGGAATAAACATTGCATATCCGTTTGCTTTGGAAATACTTTAGATTTTGCTACTCGTAAGTAGGCTAAAACACGGATTTCAATGAGTTTTTCCAACTCAAACAATCCAACCTCCACACAGGCATCCAAACAGTTTAACACATAAGCATTTAGCCGCATGGCAAGCATACTGTCATGTTAACATTCACACACATGCGAGATGCTAAAGCATAAATACTTACATCGTACTCCGTGCCAAAAACAGTAAACTAGTTAGCAAAATGTGCGTGTCCTAGTTCATGTTAAATTGCCTAATGTAACACATACAGATGCCAATTTAGATAGGCTCGGTTAACCTAAGCATGGCATATGTAATGCGATCAACTATCACATATTCAATTTTTAATTGAAGTACAAATGCAGTTAGCATGATGTACCGAGCCTAATGCATGCAACACGAATGCATGGATGCACACATGCATAGCATAAGGTATGCTAATTTCAAAAAATGCCCTAATCTACCATCATAAGCAGGTAAATAAAAGGGAAGAAGAAATGGGGATTGGAAACATACACACACTCACCACACTTATTACATATTCACCCTCACTCAGAGGGTCCAAATGAATATTAAGTCCCAAAATAATAAACAAATGAAATATTACAGTCCCAATAATAAACAAACGAAATTATTACAAAAAAATCTATATTAATTAGGAGAAAAATGCAAAAGAAAGGAGAGGGTGGCCGCAGCCTCTGTCTCGGGATGCGCAGATGATGCATGCTCGAAACTTGACTTGCCGAAAAACCCGTACCGTACCCCTGCCACCTCTGTTTGTACTGCCTTGTCTCTCTGAAAATGCCCAAGTCCTGGAGCAGGTTCCTTACACGCTACAGAGCACCACCGGCCAGACAGAATTTCCACCGGCACTCTACAATTTTCATCGGCTGTTCTTAGATTCATCGGCACTTAAAAGATTGCCGGTCGGCACTAAATTCTGCCGGTCGGCAGAAACTTCCTGCAGAAGACAGTTTGACAGCAAACAGAGAATAGACAGTGCATGGCAATGGGGTTTTCAGGCATATGTAAGCATGGCCATACTTCCTATCATGTTTTGAACTCAAGGAAGCATGTCCTTCGATCTTCGAGCCACAATGGTGCATGGTGGCTCAAAGATTCAAATTTGCCATTTGATATAAAGATGCATGCAACAAACAAAATGAAAACCGAAGCCTTATCAAGTTGAATCAAAGGCCCCGGTGACCGGGAATCGAGGCACATTACATCACTTGAAGTATGAATGTTCCTGATTACCACACTTGGTTTGACACCCCAAACCAAGTAAATGCAATGCATGTTATGCAAACACGGCTCAACATGCACATGATGCCAAGATGCAAGGCACAATAAGTACTATGCAACTAACATGACAAATGTGTAATGCCAAGCATGCAAGATGCAAATGTGATGCGAATATGGACCAATTTGGGAATGGGATTCACATGCTACGAGGCTTGATGGAACAACCATACAACAAACATGAAGCAAGCATGCGATGGGGGCCTTGAACCATAAAAGGACAGACCTCAGTCCACCCCAAAACAGCATCAAAAAGTGCTCAAAATGTTGGGCAACATCTCATGTTAACAAGCAAACTTATGGTTCTAAGGTTAAGGCACAAAAAGGAGACAACTTACCCCCACCAACATGACATTCTCATGGCATGATTTAGACAAATAAGAACAGAAATTTTACATGCAAAATGGGACTTCGAACCTCCTAGTATGGCAGCTACAATACCTCTTATGAAATGCTACCACCAAGACTCTTTCCTAGGCATAAGAGAGTACACCCCAAGGCATGAAAGAGGTCAGCATGCACACATGCAAACATGATTCTTGGACTAAAATAGCATGGCAAAAAACTTCAACTCATTAAAGTGGATCAACTAGGCATGCTAGTGATTCATGTACTTGAGGGCTCACAAGCCAAAACGCATGGCAACCATATCAAACATGTCAAACATGACCAAATGGATAACCAACAGGTTTTAAGCATGAAAAAAAATAGTGCTAACATCTTCATGGAACCAACCCAAACACACACAAGAATCATGGCCTAATCATGAGATACACTTCTAAGCAAAATGGAGCAATACCAAAGCAAGTATTACAAGCATACAAGGAGGCACAAATCCAGCCGAAAACAGAGATTCCACATGACCTAAAAAACACCAAAAGTTCTGAAATGAAGCAAAAACCAAGCAAGCATGCATGTCACCCTTTTGGGCCACAACTCAAGGAAACAAGACCATAAAGGGACAGGGGGTGTCCCTCCCTATGCAAGACTTCAAACCGGACTTTTTTAAACACTAAAAATACACTGATTTTCAGTGGTGAAGAGATCAAGATACAAAGATGACCAAAGCTTAACCAAAGAGGCAACAAAAGTGGCCAAACAAGGCCTAATAGAGTGAGTTTGCACTCAAAACACCAAACCACCTTAATGAAAGTTCTAAGCATGAAAATATAAACCTTTTTTATGTTATGCACAAGAGCTAAAACAGCAAGCAAGATAGGTAGAAAACTATTGCAAGTTTGGGAATAAAAGCAAGATGCTCACCCTTGAAGAACCCTTGAAGAACAAATGGTCTAGCCCTCTTCTTTTGATCAAAACCAGTCCAAAAAACTCAAGAAACAACCCTCCAAGTCCTCAATCTCGGAATAAGGTGTAATAGTGTGTGTAATGGTGCAAAAGTAAGGTAAAAATCACCTTTTGAGCTAAAAACACACACAAGGAGGAGAGAGAGAGAGATATAGAGATGATATGTATCTATATCTCAAGCTCTGGTTTTTTGGTTGCCAAAAGTCTAACCTAGATCCAAGATGAAAAGACCCCCTCTTAAAGGACTCCCTCTTGCAAAGCTTATACAACAAGCTTGGCTAGAGGGAGATCCCTCCATACACGTGTATGGAGGGGGGGGAGAGTTGGTGCCAGCTATCACAGCTGGGCACAAAATATCTTATAAGTGGATGAACGTGGGTGGCTGCTGGTCGGGCCTGCCCATTTAGGTGGCGACTCTGTATCTGGCAAAGCAGTCCATGTTTGGCACTACTTTCAAAAATCTGTTTCTCAAAAAACGATTTGCCAGATTTGGACTCTTTGGTTCAGATTAAGAACCGTGACACAAATCGAGTCCGAACTGTAGCATGAGGCCCACGTGGGTGCTTGTTACACTTTTAAAACCCTCAGCTTCTCCATAATTATAAAACTAGCCCAGCCTTGTACATAAGTTGAATCCCAAACTTTATTTGCTTCAAGAAGGAACTTAGGGTGTAAAACCCAAGTATTGATAAACTAGAAAGGCTTTGGGCCGCAGTTCCTATCATCTTCCATCAGCAAAATGGGGCTATGATCAGAAAAAAGTCTTGGTAACCCCCATACCTTGTATCTGTGCCATTCCAGCCACTCAGGGTTAACTAAGAATCTGTCAATTCTGCTCCAACTTTGAGAATTACCCCAAGTATATTGCCTGCCTAACATTGGGATATCCACTAGTTCAAGATTGCTAATGAAGGTACCAAATTCCTCCATGCCTCTATCCCTCCTTATATACCCTTTTCTTTCACAAATATTTTTGACTTCATTGAAATCTCCCCCTAAACACCAAAGATCAGAGAAGATAGTTTTCAAATTGGATAGGATGCCCCATAACCTCCTCCTATTCAAATCTTCATTAGGAGCATATATGTTACCAATTACACAGTTAATACAAGAATGCATGATACCTGCCAAAAGGATGAAATTTCTTGAGCAGCAACACTTCTGTAGTGAGAAAGTCATGGGATTCCAGATGCACTGAATTCCTCCTGCACTTCCCTCCGCATCCACTTCCATGTATTCCACCGAATCACTAGGCCACGGAGATCTTACCACACTATCATCAATGTTTGATCTTTTTGTTTCTTGCAGGAGAACCATATCCACATTTTTCAGCCTCAGAAATTCCTTTACTCTTCGCCTTTTGTCAACCCTTCCCAAACCTCTAACGTTCCAGGATAGAATCTTCATAGAAACATAAATACACACTAAAGCCCCCTACCAAGTGATGATTAAGCACCTGGCGCCATCCCTTTTGCTTTCCTTCTCTCCATATCTTCAATTTCCATCTGGATTACTCGGTCCATAACTTTTGCTTCATTCCCATTCATTTCCAGACCCAAAGTCTTTCCCAACTGTACTGTAGCTTCTGCTTCCTGTCTGATTCTATTTTGCTTTCGTAAGGCATTCGTGATAGATAAAGATGATGAAGATGCCATTGCAGCTGCTCGAACAAGGGCTCCTTGTTGGAACCCATTCCTGAATGGTATTCCTTTTTGTCCATTTTTTCTCCAAAATTTTCCAAACACCCTACTTTCATTAAGCTGGGCCTCTGCTTTACTATCCCAAATAGAAGCACCAGGTTAATGTATTTTTTCTTCTTCGTCACTTGGGCTGGATTCATCTTCGATGTTATCAGAAGCCTCACCTTCTTCTATTCGGTTAGCCTCCTTAACAGAATTGATCTTTGCCTTATTAGGCCCTAGACAATTCCCATCAAATTGGGCTTTATTCAATACAACTTCCAGAGATATATCAGGCCTATTAAAATCTTTTGAACTTAAACTTCTTATAAGCCCATGAGGCCCATTAGGTGTCTCCAGCATCCCACCTCCTCGTCTTTCACCCCTGTCAACCTCTTTTTCTAATGGTACCTGCAAACTGACATTGGGTGCTGGCTGGACAGCATCATGGTTGCGAGTTCCTATCTCTGCGCCTGTCTCGTTAACCATCGAAACAGAGTTTGAAGGACACGTGTGCTTATGTCCTGCTCCCACCACCACCTCCTTAGACTTCTTACTGTGTGCCATGTAGAGGCTTCTCTCCACGTCAGCCCCAATGTTACCCACGTCATCACCTTCACTCCTGCTTGCATGATGAATTGCAGAGCAATGGTCACCCCCATCCATGGATGTTGTTAACAAATCCCTTGCTTCAACTACACGAACAGGGTAGGATTTACCATCTTTTTCCAGAATAACCAATTTGTCAATATGTTCCAGATGGGATGTACATATTCTGATTTTCCCACACTTCAAAGACTTCATACTTAATACATTATCATCAAGCTTCACGACGACACCACACGCTTTGCCAATTTTCCTGAAGTTATTGGCATTCCATAGATTGGGAGGCATTCCAAAACAGCTTAACCAAACCAGTCTTTCATTGTCTAACTTCACACCTTTGTTCCACTCAAAGATTGATTCACACCACTCCGATAACCAACCTCCAAAACTGTTCAGTAATTGCTTCATTGCTTCTTTAGAGTTAAAAATGATAAACACATTGCGGCCTTCTCCTTCTCTAAGTTGTATGTCCTTCAATCCTCTGTTATGACATTTAATCTTGAAACCATCAAAGTTGCAATGAGGTTTAAGTTTGATTACTGCGCTCAGTAATAACCAACCAATGGCATATTCCTCCGCTTGAATTCTGATGTGATTATCACTACCAGACCTTCCTCCTTTTAGAACATCCGCATAAGAATGTCTCCCTCCAATCCCAGCGCCAGACAATGTTGAGACTCCATCTGGTTTATATGCTCTTGGTCTTGGATTGATCAGATCCTTTTCTTTGCCGAAATCTACTTTTTTCACCTTTAAAGATTTATCGCCGCACCACACTCCATTGGCTTTCTGAACTGTAATCTCCGCTGCAACAGGACAGTCAAATCGTACGAATCCAAATCTGGTTTTCGTCACTTTTCTGCGTTTGTCTGGGATGTAGACATTCTTGACCACTCCAAAGTTGGAAAGCATGGTGTACAAACCTTTAGGATTCATCGAGTGTGGGATCTCATCAACAAAGATCGTGTGAAGTTGTGCTGCCGCCCCATTTCTACCTTGTCGTCGACGGAATACCGGATTCCACTCACCTTGTTGACGTTCCATCTTCTGGAGAGCTGCTTGTGTCATTTTAATCGCTATTTCCCTAACTATTTATGCTTTTGCTTTACAGCTTTTTTTTCCTGTGATGTTTGATGTTCATTTTTCCAGTATATATATAGAGAGAGGCTAAGAAGACGAAGCACAATTGAAGATTTGCCTTGTCCAAGAAGATGAGACAACAAGTCTTTTATGAGCTTCTTCTTGTTGGGTTTGTGCTTCTGAGTTGTATATTTATCTTCATTGCTCATGCCGAAACTCATTACTATGACTTCATGGTACGTACCCTCTATTGCGCTTACACTCTCTTTCAAATTTGCTCACTAAACTCCATCAACACTATTGTACATTCAGAATTTTTATTTATAAAAATTAAATTTTGGTTCAAATTCGTTCAGTTTACACAATACTAATTCACTTTTCACCACACAATCTCATTTTGGGTATAAATTTGAGAAAATTTTCTGAATTAATAGAATTATTGAAACTCCATTACGGAGGACTTCATCATGGTTTTAAGGTGGGGATTGTGTTTAGGAATGACTTTTTAAATTGTATGAAAAAAATGTAATTGACTAATATATATATATATATATATTGTTTTTATCTTAAGTTCTCATTTTGTAATTTTACATTGATACTACTTTTGGCTGTTGGAACAATCTTCTGTGTAAATAAAATAACTTGAAATAAATTCAACCAAAATAAATAAATAACATACCGGATTTATTTATCGAACCGAATTAAAATTAAGACCAAGTTGAGTGTGTGACACTCTGTCCTTAAGACAGATTCGCCCCGCTACGGTGATTACGGTTGAGTGGCGTCTATCTCCCAAGATACAATGATCTTCACAAATTTATAGAAGCACTTCAAATAAATTTGTTCGACGAATTAAAACCTGTATTCTATACTCTCTTTGTAATTTTCCTAAAACTAGAATGAAGGAAAATCCCTTAAATAAAAGTTGGACAACAATATAAATAATGCAGACTAAATCTCGGGGTTCCTTGATTGCTGGAATAAAGGCTAAATATATAGGCAAAAATCTCAGCCCGAATAGGTTCCAAAACAAAATGAAAAGGTGCTACCACTATTCAAACATTTCTTTGACCGTTGCTAAGAACCAACTTTCAAACAATTTTGAATAAGGATCTGTTGGTGAACAGTTTCTAAACTGTTGGACCTTTATCATTTAAACCATTTGACCTTTATTATTTAAACCATTTGAAACATATATATATATATATATATTAAACTATTTGAATATATATATATATATAACTATTTGAATAGTTTAATAAATAAAGGAAGAGGTGTAAACTTTAGGAAACCACTCAGGAATCCAAAATTTGAATTTAGAATTAAATTAAATTCCCACAATAATTTTTATTGAAAAAAAAATTCAAA